TTCAGATTTGGGTTGAACAATTATGGGTTGTTCTTGAATAAAATCATTTAGATTTTCTCCTCCAAGATTCCTATTTGTGCAGGGTTTTTTGAACAAGTCTTTGCTTCATTGAATTCAGCCGAGTGAAAGGATTAAGAAACATGGGTTTGCTTAATCAAGGAGCAGTAACTAGAGGATTGTGAAGATTGATTTGGGGGTCAAATTGCTTGCGATTGAAACCATCCGAGTGAAAGGATTAAGAAACAGTGGGTTTTCTTAATCAAGTAGCGGTAACTGGAGGTTTGTTCGAAGAATTTGGCACTTAGTTTTGCTCAAACCAAGGAAAGGGGAGAAGATTGTTACATCAACAACATTGGTTTGTTTATATTGTGAAATATCTCTTCTCTTGTATCATTTGTAACTTGATTTCAAATATCTTAATTCTAGATTCTAGAATTGGGGGCAGACGTACCCTAAGCGAGGACAATAAAGGGAACTGCCTTAACAAATTATGTGTTCTTTTGCTTTTTCTTTATCTCTATACTTAATTACTATACTGTGCAAAAATTAATTTGTCAAATCTGCATTTATTAAAATTATAGTGTGTTGAGTTCATTTCAAAACATTAGTAACAATCCTTTTGATTGATACCTAAGAAAACTTACCACTACAATTTAGTAAAATCAAACCTAATGTGCTTTGCTCACAAGGTGTTTGACAAATTGACTAATACACAAATTATTCATTGTGCTTATCCTTATCTCATTCAACTCATTGGAAGTAATTAATAATCATTGAGGGTGTATAAGTGATTGATCAATTGAGTAAAACATACTGATTCTTATTTTTTCATTATATCCCATACGGTTACGCATATCCGATCTTTTCAATAGAGGATTGTTTAGATTATTGGAGATTCCAGAAAGCTTTCGCATATTTTTCTAAAAACAATTTTAAAAAGCGCAAATTAATTTAAACAATCTATTCAACCCCCCTTCTAGATCAATCACATCGTCTAACAGATTCAAACGTAAAACATTGATCGTGAAGTGTAGAAACACTTCACAACACTATATAACAAGTTTTTTAAATAATAATGTCATCATTATTTTAAACATTAATCCATGACAATATCAAAACCAATTTCAACAATAATCTAACAACGATAATCTTCGAAACATTCTATTCAAATAAAACCAAACCAAACAAATAATACCATCAGAACATCACTCATCATTTAACATAAATAAATCTCTTCAAATAGTTTATGCATAAGAAAGCCTATAAACAAAATCATCATGCTCTCTGTTCATATTCACTCCCTGATGATGATGATGAGATTGAAACTGAGACACATGATGAGATTCTCCACATCGACAAATTGAACATCATCACCACTATAGTTTCAATTCTAGAGAATACTAATCATGAAAAGAAATCCAATTTTATCCATTCTATTGTTTTTCTTTCTCTTTATTTTCCTTGCAGCCATAAATTCTATTGACGAAGCTTCACTTGTCATTGCCATTCTGATGCCCAAAAAAAAAAAACACAAGTGATCAAGCTTCCATACATATGAATCGAAAAAGTGAAAGATGCAGTAATTACCAAGAACAAAAATGGTGAAATGGATGTTACGGTTAATTCCTGTGATGTTGAAGGCTGGTCTCTAGATGGGTCTGTTAGCTATTGTGTTATGTAGCAGACGTGTACAAAGGGAGTATATCGTGCTACTGGTTCGCGTGGCAGAAAAGAGGAACTCGTGTGAGAGAGGTGGAGGAGGTATTCCAGACTGGTGCTTCGATGGTGGTGGTATTGAAGTTGTCGTTGGTGGATGGGTAGCGCGAGTGATGGTCTGAAGGCGGAGGCATGGATCCGGTATCGGAGATGAAGGAGGAATCAGAAGAGTGGTGGTCTGAAGGGAGTAAGATGGAATGGAGGTCGGGGGAGTTGGTGGATGGGTACCGGCGATGAAGGAGGAATTGGAAGAATGGAGGTCTAAAGTCAAACGAATGAAACAGCGATGATGGAGGAGTCAGAAGAGGGGTGGTCTAAAGGGAACGAATGATATGGTAAAGAGATTTAGGGTTTTGTGAAAATATAAGCTTTTTTTTACATCGGTTGGCCTCAATGGACCAATTTAAGTGCCACTTTTTTTTTTACTTCGGTTTGGCTTAAGGTCCGATGTAACGACCATCGTGTTTTTATTTATTTAATCATTGAACTTTTTATATCGGTTGAGAAATTGGCCCGATGTAAGGACCTTTTATAACAAAAATAATTTTATTTACCAAATTGCCACCATGTTATATTTTTTCCTAAATCAAATATTTTTTATATTATTGAAAATAAATGTCTCATGTAAAATCTTTTGACAAATATTTTTTACATCATATATTTTTATACACGATGTAAAGACCTTTTCTCAAATGTCATATTTTTAGTAGTGAAATAATGCTTTCTTGCATGGAGACTTGGAAGAGGATGTTTACATGACCATACCACAAGATGTTACATGTGTCAAACCAAACCAAGTATGCAAGTTAGTGAAGAGCTTGTACGGTTTGAGGCAGGCTAGTAGAAAGTGGTATGAGAAACTTACTTCTCTCTTATTAAAACTTATGTACAATTAACTGCTGATTACTCCATGTTCACTTTCAAGAGGGATAAACACATTACCATTCTACTAGTATATTGTTGATGACATAATACTAGCAAGAACATCATTCGTGGAGTTTGACCGTATCAAGCTAATTCTGGATACAAATTTCAAAATCAAGGACTTGAGAATATTGAAGTACTTCCTTGGTCTTGAAGTAGCTTATTCAAAACAAGGAATCAATATTTATCAAAGGAAATATTTCTTAGTTCTTTTAAATGAATCAGGATTACTTGCACCAAAACTTGATGCCACACCATTAGATCCATCCCTAAAATTATGGCAAGATAATAGTGATCCCTTAAAAGATATTACATTGTACATAAGGCTTATTGGAAGGTTAATATACCTAAACAATACTAGGCCCAATATAACTCTTGCCACACAGCGGTTGAGTCAATTCCTACAGAAACCTACACAACTTCACTATCAAGCAGCATGCCGAATTATCAGATATCTCAATAAGAATCCTGGACATGGTTTGATGTTTTCTCGATCATCTAAGCTGCAAATCCTGAGTTATTCAGATGTAGATTAGGCAGGTTGCATGGATACAAGAAAATCAACACCAGGCTATTGTTTTTTCTTAGGAAGTTCTCTTATTTCATGGAAGGCTAAGAAACAACAAACTGTGTCAATAAGCTTGTCTGAAGCTGAGTATAAAGCCTTATGTTCAGCTGCTTGTGAACTGATATGACTTCTATATGTTTTGATAGATCTGCAAGTCTTATGCTCCAAGCCTCCAGTTTTGTACTGTGACAACCAAAGTGCTTTACATATATCATCAAACCCTGTGTTTCATGAGAGAACGAAGCATCTCGAAATAGATTGTCACTTGGTGCGAGAGAAAGTACAACAAGAAATGTTGAGGATGTTACTTATTTCTTCATAGGAACGACTGACTGATTTCTTTACAAAACCACTACAACCAACTAAATTCAACACATTTGTATCCAAGCTTCGCATGATCAACATATATCATGCTTGAGCTTGAGGAATGGTGTTAGAATATGAGCAATAGAGTTACCTTCACTAACAAGTTATTACCATGCACACGTGCCATCTTTTATGTTTGAGAGTTAGTTAGATTTCAGTTATTGATAGTTAGTTAGTTATGTTAGTTGAGCTACCATATAAGTTTGTTGTACTCTTTTTTCTCTTTTTGAGCTGAACCAATACAATATTAGCTCCTTCTTCTCTTTGCTCTTGTTTGTTCTTCTTTATCCATTGATCATACCAATATTATAACAGTTGTCAAGATCAAGATCTTACCTAAGACCGGGAGAGAATAACAAGATCGTAAAATGTAAAATCGTAGTTAAGATCGGAAGATCCTACTCAATTATTTTTGTAAAATCGAGATGGGGTAACAAGATCATAAAACATAAGATCGCAACTAAAATCGTAAGATCCTACTAAAATGAAAAATAATAGTATATAATTGAATTACTTTTACATTGATATATGTAAGTAGGCAAGTGTATTTGTGAGAAAATGACTCTTTTTCATATTTTTTAGACATTTATGATTGAGGTTTTATTGAACATTTGTTAATGTTTAGATATTAGGGACGTATATGGTCAAATACCAGGATTATCAAAAGGTGAGAAGTTTATTCTCTAAATCCTAAATCTAAAACTCCATTTCAAAAGATGCAAATTTGTCTCCGTCGAACCGTAATTGTTGTGTCTCTGCATCTTGTTATCCTTCTCACCTTTTAATGATGGTGATCGAAAAACGGTCAATCATGGTTGAAACTGGTAAAGATCGCACAAAATCAATACTTTTACGGGGGTTTTAAATAATTTAGCTACAACACGCGATTCTACTTAAGATCTGGATCATTGAAAGTGAGTGAGATCGTAAAATCTTAAGATTTTAAGATCTAGATCGAGATCTTGATAACCATACGAGACATCTCTAAATATTAAGTGGAGAACGAAACAAGTAAATGAATTACTAATTGCCATGTCAAGTTTATATTCTGGTTTGTTTATGACATTATGTCTTTCAAAGATGTCCCAATTAATATTAGAAACTATCCAATTAGCCTGAAGTTGTTGCGGTTACAACACTTGTGGTATATATTCCAAGACTCTGTTGAAACACAGATGTTGGGATGAATGAATCTTATCTATTAAACAAAATTGCCAATAGGAATAATCTTTATCTACAGAAACAATTGTGGATAGGAATGAACATTTGGCATAAACTCATGTGAGGAGAAACAATATTCTGATAAACAAAAGCATCATATTCCTTTCCTTACATCTATATAATAAGGATTTTGGTTGCAACATTAACACCATCCAAATACAAACACACTAAGGTTTCATAGCATTTTTCAAGTAAGGTTTTAAGAATGTCATCTCGTGTGATGAAAAACCTCCTCGCAATGCTTGAGGCTGAAGAAGCCGAAGCATCGAAATACAACAACAACCAAGGTACTGCTGATGCATTTAACAATCATGGTGGCGGGAATCAAAATTTCTCTGGTGCCAGAGTCAACAGCGGTGCGAATTCCGGGGACCGAAAGAAATACCGCACCACCAACAATGTTGGTGGCCGCACTGTAAATAACAGTGGTCATTTCATTGGTAATGGCAATGGAGGGTATACTGAGGGTAACTCTGACGCATCCACAAGGAACTATGAGTTTTAGTGATATTATGTTATAAGTATCTGTGATTTATGCAAGTAATAATGAAATTGAAGCTATATATAGTTTCAATGGTCTGTTCGCTGCATGTTGATGTATAGGAGGTTCAAAATAAAGGCTAGTGTCGCTATAATAAATCTCCATGCGTTTGACTAAATATGGTTGCTATTAGTATTTTTTTTTGCCGTGAAATCTTTACATATTTCTTTTGATTTTTATGCTACTAGGCCAAAATGGATACGTCGAAATTTTTTTTTTTCAATTGTTTTTCATAAAATAAAAGTACATACAATCGATTTTGCCTAACTTTGAGGATGTTAATAATATTAAGCGAATTTGGAGGGCTGCAATTAAGTGTTATTTTAGATTTTCAAATAATGGTTTATTGTAATATGATCCTTGTGATAAGACTATTTATCAATTTCCTATTGGCAAATATACGTGCAGAAGTGATCAACGAAGATAAGAGGATGAACTAAAATGTTTGATGAATTAAAATCCCAAGAAGAAAGGATCAAATGGCAAGAAAAATTGAGTAAAGGGCATTCAATTTACACTGAAAACACTGTTTACGGAGCTTTTTACCATTTATACGTGAGTTTGTTATAACACCACAACATTCTTAAAATCTTTTGACAATTTTATATAATTAGGGGTTGTCAAATTGTTAGTTGGAATTTTCGACAAGGTCTTAAAATCCAGCTAAAGTAAGTGGAGGAAGACAACTTTTAATAAGGAAGTCATTTCAAGGTGAAAGGTGTGGTCTATATGTATAGGGATGGATAGTCGGCACGAAATGGGGGAAGTTTGGGTCGAAATCCCGTCTGAAGGAAGTTGTGGACTTAGGATATTTTTTTGTAGAAAGATAGATGATTCGACCAGGGCAGTCGTTCGAACCAAGGCGGTTATCACAAACGAACGTGGTGTCGTAACCGTTCGTTACCTCGTCCCCAGTATGAAAACGTGCAGAAGCGATTAACGAAGATAAGAGGATACGTGGCGTATTTTAAAGAGAAGCCCGACATAAAAAAATTACTTATTTGTATTATAAATAAAGGTTTCATCAGTTGATTTAGGGGTGTTAAACTTGTTGGAATAATATAGCAAGTGTGAGTAAGTGGGGAATAGTCTCACATTGGATAGAAATGTGGAGACTTAAGCATATATAAGTGAGAGAATCCACTCACCTAAACCCTTAAGGTTTTAGGTGGATAAGTGGTGTGTCTCTCACAAAGGTGTTTATTCCTACACTATGTATCGATGCTCATAGTAACTCCCCCTAACATGGTATCATGAGCCTTTGGTTCGAGAAAGGAACCGAAAGAGACTTATATCAAAATGCACTCAGGAAGTGGTGTTCTGTTGCAAGATGTCAATGGCGGTGCAAGTGAGGAAGCGTTGTGGACTCACACTTGAGGGAGAGTGTTGGAATAAAATAGCAAGTGTGAGTAAGTGGAGAAATAGTCCCACATTGGATAGGAATGTGGAGACTTAAGCATATATAAGTGGGAGAATCCACTCATCTATCACCTTAAAGTTTTAGGTGGATAAGTGGTTAGTCTCTCACAAAGGTGTTTATTCCTACACTATGTATTGATGCTCCTAGCAATTCCCCCTAACAATGAGTCTTACGAGTGCAATGCACGTTTGATCATTGAATTTCAATTAATGCACAACTTTTCATTCAGTTTCATTTTACTTTCTTTTACATTTTTCAGTCGAAGTCTTTACATTTTCAGTCAGATTTTTACCTTTATTTATTCTGAAAATCATAACGTGATTTCGACCACTGTCGAAATCGCCCAAACGTTCATCATTCTTACTGCATTTGAAAAAGTCCAAACATAGTGTAATGAAATTCACTAGTCTATTTTGTAAAGCAACCGTTAATAAGAGAATAACGGCGTTTACCAATTTCTAGCATAAAGACACATATTGTACTTTTAGCAAGTACAATATACATGGATGATATGATCGTTACTATAAATTATACATTACGTAACTTCCTCTTACTTCGGCCATTTATTTCATCGAAGTAATACCTATTCATTAGGTGTCTTTTTTATATATTTTAAATTTTTTTCTCACTACAGTTCAAACTAACAAATGTGGTTAAAGGTGAAAGAGTAACATGTTTTGAATTCCAACACCAACAATTTTGTGTTTTTTCATTACAAAATAAGCACGTTCCCTTAATTTCTATTATTAAACTAAAATTAAACTACTTTTCACAATTGTAGAAAGAAGTAACTATGTTGGAAATCTCCCACAGTAACACACTAATAGCGTGTTAATGAGAGACATTTCAACACGGTTGCTTCGCTCAATCATGGTGAAATGTGTTACATATATAAGTTACATGTCATTCACTTATGAGTAGATTTATGCCCTAACTTCATAAGTGAAACCCTAACCTCTCACACCTTATCTCAATCTCCATAAACATTCTCGCATCATTTCTTCACAACACTCAAACATGTTTTCTCCTACTCGTATGGATCAAGGAAATGTGTCACAAAACTTAAAGTGGAAACCCTAAACTCATTTCTTTGACTTACTCTTCACTTTTATGGTACGTGAAACATTTCCATCATTCATGTTATAAGTTATGTAGTTGATGTTGTTCAAACTATATGTCTTTTAGGCTTTGTTGTTTTTCTTGTTGTTGAGACATTAAACCTAGTTTGTATGTTATTGTTTTTGTTGAGTTATTTTGTTGTTTTTGTTGAGGTAATAAAAGGTTTAGATTTATTGTTGATGTTGTTAAGATGAGATTAAAGGTTTTATGATGTTGTTTTTGTTGAGACAAGTAAACGGTTTATGTTATTGTTGTTGTTTTGGTAAGTTAAGTTGTTGTTTTTGTTGAATTATGTTGTTGTTTTTTGTTGATACAGGTAAAAGATAATGTTGATGTTTTTGTTGACTTATCTTGTTGTTTTTTTGTTGAGATATGTAAAAGGTTTGTGTTATTGTTGTGATTTTTGTTAGTTAAGTTGTTGTTTTTATTGAGTTATGTTGTTTTCTTTTTTTTAATATAAGTAAAATGTTGTGTTAGTGTTGTTCTTTTTGTTTTTCAATGTTGTTGTTGATAATGTTATTCCTTGCGCATATTTCATTTCGTTAACCCCAACATGTCTAGAGTTATAGAATATACAATTGAGTTTATTATATCGTATGTGGATTAAGTGTTTTACCAACCCTTCATTGAATATATAACTTGTCAAATTGAATTAGAAAATAAAAATATGAAAAACTTAGTTATATTTTAAGACCAACTTACATTAATCAATGTTTTTCGAGTTTTTTACAACTCATTATCCATATCTCGCTTTTTAACAGTTAGAATTTGGTTTTATACTTCTAGTTCTTCAATCAACACTTTTTTTCTACTAGTTTATTCTGCAAAACATCAAATTTATTGAGAAATTCTAATTCATCATTACCATGGTGATAATTATGATGATTATGATTATGCTTATTATGATGATGATGATGATGATGATGATGATGATGATGATGTTGATGATGATGATAACAAATTTGATTCTAATTCATCCTTTATATTTCTTTTTTATTACTTTTGATGTTTGTTTTTCCTAATACATGTCTTAATTATTTTGCCAAAGAAGTGTAGAAGAATCATCATGACAGTGACAACAAATTGAACCATATATACACATGTGGATGGATGGTGCAGAAACAAGGAAGTACTTTGATTCGTGTACCTTGGCTTGACATTCCCTGAAATTGGGTACCTATTTGAAATATTTAGAGTCAGTTAAACACTCAAGCTTATTTATGAAGTTTTTTTAGTACGTATTTGCTAAGTTAATTTATCATGTCAAATTTTCTACAAAATTGGAATTTTTTTTTGGAAAAATCATGTATTAAAAAAAATTTCGCAAATAATCATGTTTCGAAAAAAATTACGCAAATAACCATGTTTCAAATGACTCCCCAAAGGAGGAGCCATCTCACTTGGCGCCTACACCTACCTTTTAAGGGGAGGCGTCATCTCACTTGGCGCCTAGGTGCTTAGGGCTTGCCCTAAGCCAAGTGAGATGGCGCCTTAGTGCATTTGCTAGGGCAACTTTCGTGTTTTTTTTTCAATGCGATGCATTACGTATTCGCTATAGGATCAACAAAATTGACTTTTTATTTACAAAATATGATTACACACATAAGTATTACATAAAAAAACAGATTAATCAGTGGTCCCCCAGAACCCGGTAATGACCCCCGATTCCGCATCCCCGTCCTCGCCTTTCCTGTGCTGGGTTTCGTCGCGTTTCCTGCTGTGGCAGGGTCGATGGCCCAGCGAAGTCAATGCATTCTGGATCTATGAAATCAGTCAGATCTCCATATCTAGAAGATCCGCTTTGGTACAATCAGTTACCCATACCCTCAAAGTTTGGTCGTGTTGGCGGTGGGTGGGGTTCCATGGTTGGTCTGTAGCATTGGTCGTCTGAGTAAAAGGGGTAGAAAGGAAATGGATCTTGGGGTGTTTGGTATTAAGGATGTTGGGTGGTTTGGTGATATTGTGGTTGATAGTAAGTTTGGTCGATTGGTTCATAATCTTCTGACATTCCCAGATCAGGGCTAAGGTTGGATGTTGAGGGGTCCATATTGGGATATGCAGAAGACTGAAATTGTGTGTGGGGTATGCGGGTGTGTTGGTATTGTGATTGAAATTGCGGTTCAGTATGAGGCATATGGGGGTATTGGTACTGAGGTGGTGATTGTGGTTGGTTGTGGGGCATGTGGGTGTAATTGTATTGTGGTGGCGACTGTGGTTGGGTGTTTGTGGTTTTGTTTCATCTGGGGGGTTGGTGGGAGGTTGATGTGTGTTGGGTTTGTTGTTGGGGAATTGAGGGTTGTGCCCATTGTGTTCTTGGGTCAACCAAATACCTTGGATGAGACACGTGTATTTCAGGGTTACTAACCGATCTGTGCCAAGATAAATATTGATCCGTGTGTCGCATATTACCATGATTGAGGAAAAC